GATCGACAACTTATCAGAAGGCTGGCTTCAACTTGTTCCTCGTTCTAACTGACAACAAATGACAGTCTGTTCAGATCGTTGAACGGTAAAAGCGGGTGTTATCAGTGTTCACTGTTGCCTGAGATAAACTGCTAAAATCTGAGGTCAAATGGATAGTCCTTCATACGATCTCACTGCAATATGGTTCACCTTATCACAGAACCAAGGTAAGAAAAAATCCAGCAGATCGTATTTTGTACTATCCTATTCTGAGCAGCTTTGCAGATTCGATAACAAAGGTTGACACCCTCGGCTGCCATCATGATTAAAACTGAACTGCGTCAACACTGTGTCGGTAATGTTATTTTTCTGCCCTGTTTCTTTCATTTGCCTCAGCATTATCCTTGCAACAAATGAATTCACAAGAATCTCTAAAAATGCCATAAAATTCACAATGAAAATTCTGCAATTAGCCAGCCATAACTATTCAATACTAATAGTTAACGGAAAGCACGGGGGCGTCAATGCAATTTAAAAGACTTTGCAATAATTGATCGAAGAAACGCGACAGTGATAAGAGAATGAGAACGCAGACTGAAACGAAGAAATCGCAACAACGATGCATACTTGCACGGGCCACGCCGCGGCCTCAGCCAAAGCGCAGATCGTGTGGCCTTCCATCTGCCTGGTCAACTCCCAGATCATGTCCACTTCTTCAGAAACCGCTTTACCGTCGACGAACCGCCACATGATCCTGTCCAGCCACGAACAGCCTTCGCGACATGGTGTGCACTGAAAATGGGAACCTGGCAGCGAAATGACATATGCTACAAAACATCACCACCTAACCTGCCCACAAGTTTCATGCTTGTAAAACTTAGACAGGCGCGCAATCGCTCGTACAATGTCCACTTGCTGGTTCATGACAATCACGGCCGCCGTACCCAGTCCGCTGTGCACTTGAATCAAAGCATCGAAGTCCATGAGTACAGTTTCGCAGATTCTAAGTACCAAGAGCAGTTCTAATGAAACCAGTATCTAACGAACTGCGTACTGTTAAATGCTTTATTGACCAAGGCAATACACTGTAGAACTTGTTACACTTCTATCGTCTACATCAAGAATATGCTTCATAACGAAACTTCTACATAACAAAAGTGTTAATATAGTCCTTCATCATAATGTAACCTATTTCGCAAGAACTTTAAAAGTACATGAATTCACATTTAATCAAAAGAAAGCTAGGGTCAATCCCCCTGGCTGATCACAGCAATACCTAGAGCTACCTGGTGTTTCTAAAACAAAGTGGAACCAATGTTTAAAACTAAAAGTTCGAAAAGGTTAGACGTAACGTCAAGGGCGAAACAAAGAAGCACGAAGATGATCCATAAAAATGCCAAGACGGGCGGAATGTCGTATGCAAATAAAAATTATCATGAAAAGTTACTTTAAAGACAACAATGCATTCATAACATGGACAAGGAAGATATAAGAGCATCAAGAATCTTAAGCGAAACAAAATTGTAAGGTTCATACACCTCTAGATATACTAGCAAGAGATTTTTCATTCTGGAATAGTGCAGCAAACAAAATATACCAAGAGGCTGGACATGTATTGTTCAATAAAATAAATAAACAGCGAAAATCAATTACCATTTAATGATTATTTCACAAATTAAGCATGTTGAGCTCCTATTTATTTGACTGTACTAATCACATTATGAGACTGGTATCTTAGTTCAGGCAAAAGTATATAATTATCATGCACAGCATAGTAACAAATGATTAGGAACATTGCGAAGAATAGACAAATAAGAGAAATAATGTGGAATAAGACAGAAAAATCGTAAACTTTTACCGGAACACTTGCTTTAAGATAGAACCAGCATCGCTGAAGATGGAAAATGAACATGATATTAAGGAACTCAAAAATAAAAGTTTTGTGCTATCATGGCATACAAACAGTGATATTAAAAGCTAGCGACTACACAGTAACCACAGCACTTCATAACATCTACCTAGACATGGGTACAAGGATGTAGGATGTTCGTAAAATGAATGCGCATGTTTGTGTCAGCCTGCGAAACATGACGAATTAACTAGACATTTCGAATAAAGAACAGTTATTCCTAACTTTCACCTGATAACGATCTATTTTTGGTAACGGCCTTTTTGGCTCATTCGGCCCAATTTGGAACCGAGCTCGCGGACAATTACGCTGAATTCAGAATCAACAAAGCTACCAGAAGTACATTAGGAATATAATTACGGTAAGGTTGGCATAATCACGGTACGAGCTTGAGAATGCCAGCTACTGAACTTCCGTTTTGTGCATTGGTAAGCTGCAAAAAACTTTGGGATACTATGAGCGATGAGATGCGACATCATTCTGAATGAGGTTACCGAAACACATCATATTGCTGTCACAAAAATGCACTAGAACGTCAGGTGGCGGGCGTTCCGTATGGCCGCCAACATACGTACGTCACGGTTGCTCGCTGCCGCCAGCATTACTAACCATATTTAGCAAAGCTGATCTCTCAGAAGAGTTAAAATACATTATAAAAGTCTTCAAAATCTGAAAGATTATCAGAAACGAATAATATGCAGATGGCGAAGTAGTAATCACAACAGTTCCAGAAGAAATGCAACAAGAAGTAGATAAGATCAACATCTGTAGCAAAATTTGCGCCTCAAATTCAACATGAGAAACATGAAAGTGATGGTAAAGTACTGACGGTAAAATCATATTCCAACACAAATTGTGTCATGGTGCTGAGCTGTATAAGATCGCACCTTTCCTAATCTTGTTCCACCTTAGACAAAAACGGCGACTGTCCAAAGGAGATTCACCAGTCTTTAAAAATGGGAATCTACGCGAAAATACGCCGAAGTGAAATCTTTACTAAACTAAGATCTATGGAACCTCTAGTCTAGACTGAACACTACCGATGTGAAACCATTAAAGCTAAACCAATAAAATGGCAGAAGTGCAACTCTATTGAATCTTTTAATATGTGGTGCAACAGAGAGCATTAGAAATCTAATGAACGGGCTTTAAAATACGTCGTCTAAAATCTATTCTTGTTCTTCAGAAATAAGCAGGAATGAAAAGAGCATTTCGACAACGTTATAAGAGGTAACGATCGACGAGAGAAAATAGTGCTAGATTTTATTTCTGGATCGAACCCGGGTTGAAAACCAAAACGACATGGGTATAAGTCGTACAGTGGACAAAGCTTGGTGTCATTCACTTCGTAAGTAACTCAGTATTGCATAAGAGCGAAATACGTTGCACGAAATTGTACATTACATCATACCAGCAATTCTAAAACCACAAGTAACCAAGCTGGAATAAACTGGAATTTTCTAAGACTTCTTTACAATGAACTCTGCAGTTGCCGGTCCAAAGCACGGTTGAGAAAGGAGGAGGGTTGGAGACCGTGCAGAAGCTTCGTGAAAGTTCGCCACCTGCCACTCGTGCTATTAACGCCATCGAAAATTATACCGGCTCGGTAGTCGCCTGGATTACCAACGGCAGCGAAGGCTGTTGGGGGACTGAGGCAGACGGCGAAAAGTCGGCGATAAGAAAATGCTCACCGCTCTCTGATAGCCGGGGGCGTAGCAGCACAACAACGGCTGTAGAAGATCGACGGAACGACGACGATGATACCAGTCAGCAGCAGAGTCGCTACCCGTTCTGAACGGAGCAGGCAGACAGCGCGATTCCATCATAGCACGTCAGAAAAGGCTCCACGCGGAAGACACCGTCAGTGAGCCAACAGTCGGAAAGTGGAATATATCCTGACTCAGACAGAAAGAGCAAGAGTTATTTGACGAGACCATAAAGTACCATCTCGGCATTGTTGGATTCTTGCAGGGAAGCGAATCGGAGCGAAGAATCTGGACTCTTGTACCTCAGCGAATGGAAGCTATTTCACTCAGGCGTCGATATCACGACTCGCACTCAGGTCGGTGTTGGTGCTCTGACAGAACCTAACCTCGCAGATAGAATCACTGATTGGAAGCCTGTCAGTGGAAGGATAGTAATCCTCAGTCTGAAGCTACAACAGGCTCAAGCGCTGACCTTGATATAGGTCTATGCGCCCAATTTGAAGGGAGAATATGATACCATCCTTGAGGAAGTGAAGAGTGCTCTGTTCAAAGGGTCGAACACAGAGTCTCTCACACTCATGGGTGATTTTAATGCGCGCGATATTGGAAAAAACGGTCGTAGCGACATCAAGAATAACGGCACGAAGCTGTTACGGTTTTCTGCAAACAACGGACGGTCCATTATGAACACCATCGAGCATCGAAGCATGCATTAGTATACCTGGTACAGGGAAGCTTGTGAAACGAAGTCTATGACCGATCTGATAATCGTATCGTCTGACTTAAGAAGCTCTGTAACGGATGTTCGCGTTAAGAGAGGAGCAGAGCTATCAATCGATCAGCACCTTGTTGGTGGCACGCTACGCAGTAAGAAAAGAACAACCATACGAAAGTTTGGTGGCAGAGGCAACCAGAGAATCAAATAAGAAAACTTATCTTCGGTGGACAATGAGAGTGAAATCTGCAAGCAACAT